TTCCCCCATCCCTACTCGTTGCTGCTCCCCCTCTCTTTTCTAAAGTGTTGTCTCTATTTGTTTTGTTCTTCTCCCCTATTCCTCCCTTGTTTTTGCCTCTTTTTTCTTTTGCAGGTTGCGGCTGTCAGGAGTCTTTGTGGAGGGGGGGTGCGTTTTTCAAAACGGGGGAGGGTTCTGTGATCCTCTCCCTTTCTTTGTGTGTTTTGTGTGTGTTTTATGGCTGAAAATGGGGTATTGGGTTTGTGATAGGGGACAAGGAGTGGGGAACAATGTAGAGTGGAGTGGGGAGCAAAGTGTGGGGGGACAAGCATGGGGGACAAAGTATGAGGGACAAGCATGGGGGACAAAGTATTGGGGACAAGCATGGGGGACAAAGGAAAGTAGAGTGGGGACACGCCTGGGAAGATGGGAGCGGAAAATATTCAAACACGGTAAAAAATTAGGTGCTCACAGTTGGTTCAGTTGGTTATTGTCGTTGGCAGTTGACATGATTGTTTGTTAGAAAAGTGAATTTGGAAGGTGAAAAGATTATCAGATTCCCGGCAACGGAACCAATTTGTTTAACCAAAAATAAGTCTTTTGGCCAAAATCTAATTTTAGAAAAAAACGGGTTACTAATAACCAAGTTTTACTTCACTTTCACAATGATATCAAAAGAAATTAATAAGAATAACTTAGGAAATAATTGATGGACAAATTGCAAAGTCAAAGTAGAGAATTTCCGAAAAGCATAAAAGTAAAGAGTATATTTCAATATTGCCTCTGATTTATCTCTACAAATAGAATTATGTGTCCTTATATAGGAATATACAATAGTAACGTTTTTACTCACTTAATTTGGGTTGATTATGGGCATTAATGATATTGATTGCCCATTATCTCGGATATCTATAACTGGCGTATTTATTGCTATAAATACCTCATATCTGTTCCAATTCCCCTTCCTTATTTACTTCCGGTTCATGTACCTTTCCTTCTTTTTATTCTTTATTCATTTCGAATTCATTTATTTTTTGCCTAACTGTTAGGCCCGATTCTCTTTTTTTTTTTGTTACCGTCTCGTGGGTATTTTCTTCCGTGCCTTCTCTTCTTTATCAATTAAGAAAATCATTTGTGGCTATATCATTGTTCCACGTACTATGCCATGTCAGGATTCCAATATTCCACGTGTAATGTTCTTTCACCACCAATACAGAATTGTCTACTCATATTAAATGACGATACTAACGATTTGTCTAGTGAAAATGAAACAATTAGTAGCGAAATTAGCCAGTTTTAATGCTTAACCACATGCTCACCATCAATGTTTTTAATTGAGGACTCTCTTCAATTACCTATAGTTGAGCCAATACCACATAATTAAAGACGAAAAAATTACTAACATGCACTGATAAGTCACTTAAACCTATTGTAGTAATTGTAACATGTTATTTATATTATTTTCAGTATTATTAAGTCATATATAATAAGAACTTAAGTCATATGCACTTGTATTACAAAACAATTTTACAATATTAGTTCAATTTAGTCGGCTACCTTAGGTTATTGTCCTATTTTTCATATTATTATATCAAACTTATTATGAAAAGTTATGTTGTATACTTACCATATTAAGTTATGTTGAATACTTACCATATTAAAGGTCAAATTTTTCTGATGGTATAAAGAATATACATTTGTCAATGCACGAGACTTAAACTCTTACTTACATACTCACTAGTAGTTGGATTTAAGGCGATTTTTTTTATAACCATGGTGTTCGGGTCAACTTGTGTGCATCTCGACTAATTTCACGGGGTACCTGTCACCTCTTACCAGCAACAAGTACCAGATAACTTTGTCCACAAAGGTTCGGATAAATAGGAAGAAATTACCTAGTATTAAGATGATTTAATGTACAAAATTCTTTAAAATATCATTATATAACGCTCATATTCAATCTTTTTACATTTACATGTCTCTTTTTAGTTTTCATTTCTTTTTTCCGCACTAGGAGGAGGGAGTGAACTAATTAATAACATCATTAAATTTAAGAGAGAAGTATTTTTGACATTAAATTGTAAGTTAATTAATTCATCAATAAGCAAACGTTACTCAAAGAAATACATTGAAAGTTGAAACAGAAAAATAAATCTCATCAATCACTCTGTATAAAATCATGCTTATATAAACACCTTCATATCAAGATCAATAAGCATCAAATCAACAAGTACAAAACATTAAAGAAAAAATGGCAAAACTCAATATTCTCTTTTCTTTTGTAGCCATTTTGATAATTTCTAGTGCAATTCCTGCCTTTTGCAAATCTAACCATCACAAAAAACATCCATCACCTCCACAAGAAGAAGATGAACATGATAAATACATCAATAGCTTACCAAAAGATTTCTTAAAATTCGTCGAAAATTGTACCAAGGAATTCCCAGTTAAATGTGGCGAAAAAGTCATAAATGCTACAAATGAAAAAGGAAATGTTGACAAAAAATGTTGTCATGATCTTGTTAAAATGGGACTCAAGTGTCACAAAGCATTAATCAAGGTTTATATTGGTTTGCCTGAGGTTAAGGACAAGATTGATCCTAAGGTTGTAAAACACAATGCTAACAAGGTTTTCAAGAAGTGTGTTGCCCTTGATAAGAAGAAGCACCATCATTCTTCCCATCCACCTTCAATTCTACCTTGAATTTTAAGCGGAGGCGACGATCAGATTTAAAATTACTGGTTCAGAGTGGACGTGATCTATTATATATTAATATTTTTAAATTTTTGTTTTGTTTTGCATATGTATAAGTTGAGCTTACTAAACTCAATCTAAATAAGTTTTTTATTTTAAAGAAAGAAACTTTTGTTGTTTATGAGTAATAAATCCACAATGAGTTGAATTATTCACATCCTAGATTGTGTAAAATTTTGAGCATTATACAATAAAAGTAATGTTTTTTTTTATCATTTGAAATTTACATGGAGAATTATCTTTATCTACAGCGAGTGACGAGTTGCATATCGAGAGAATTACTACCAACTAAGGGTGTCACATTCTAAAAACACTATTATTAATTATAATAATAATAATATTATTATTATTGTTGTTGTTGTTGGGGAAAAACCAAAAATTGGAGTTTTTGAATTTTTAGTTTGATTTTCTCATTGCAATTCAATGCTTGATTCTAGCTTTTGAAAACTTAAAATGTCGATTTCGATTTCAAAAGTACAAATAATCTTTTAGTTATATGTGAATTTTTTAGTTATATGATTCTTTCACAAGTGATCGATAAAATATATAGTAATACAAAATATCGAAAATAATATAAATACAAAAAATCTATGAGGATTTTTTTTTTTTAAAATGCAAATAGAAAAGAAAATGGGCAAATCACTTGGCTAATAGTATAAAACAGAGAATCGGAAAGAAAAAACGGAAACAAAAAACAAGAGAAAATGAGCCGAGTGCTTTGTAAATCTACCTCCGCACTTATTCCTTCATTAGCTTCTTCTGCTTCTGCTCATTTCAGATTCAAACACTTTCGAACTTCTTCTTCTTCTTCTTCTTCTTCATCTTCATTTTCTCCTAGGGTTTCTCGTATGGCTACCGAAGCTTCTTCGTCTTCGTCTTCGTCATCTGCATCTCCTTCTCCTTCGTCCGCCATCGATTTTCTAACTCTTTGTCACCGCCTCAAGGTACGCACTCCGGTCTCCATTTTTTTAGTGAATTTTTTTAATGCATATGAAGTTATGATATATGTAGGATCATAGGTTGTTGTTTCCATAGAGTTGTACTCTGTGCATCAGGCGCTGTACTACGCTCTACTTGAATTATCTATTTGCTTCATATTTGCATTTGCACTATTTCAGCTATTTTAGTATGTAATCGTAGCTACATATTTTAGTATTTGCATTTGCACAGTTATTCTAAAATGTTGTTTACATAGCATTGTACTCTATGCAATACTTGTTGTACTGCGCTGAATGTAATCCATGCCTATTTGCTTTGAAATTGCGTTGCGCTAATTGAGTTAGTTTACTATGTAATGCAGAGGTGTTGTTATCTATGTAACACTAAGTGGGCGTTTGGACATACGAATTGTAAAATTCCGGAAAAAAGTGAAAAAATTAAGTGAAAATGGTATTTGAAAATTAGAGTTGTGTTTGGATATGAATATAATTTTGGGTTGTTTTTGAATTCTTGTGAGTGATCTGAGTGAAAATTTTGAAAAATAACCTTTTGGAGTTTTTCAAATTTTCGAAAAATTACAAAATTCATATTTAAATGAAAATTAAAAATTTTATTGCCAAACACTGATTTCGAAAAAAAGTGAAAAAAATTTCATGGCCAAATAGGCTCTTGTACCGCGCTGAATGAATGTGTTTTTAATGCATATGAAGGTATGGTATACGAGGATCATAGAGTGTTGTTTACATAGAGTTCTACTCTGTGCATCACGCGTTGTACTATGCTTTACTTGAGCTATCTTTTTTACTTCATATTTGCATTTGCACTATTTAAGTTATTTTAGTATGTAATCGTAGCAGCGTTGCACTCTATGCACTTCTTGTACCGTAGTGAATATAATCCATGTCTATTTACTTTGAAATTGCGTTACGCTAATAGAGTTATTTTAGTATGTAATTGTTGCTTCCAAATGCACACGCAAGTATACGTGGTCGTACAAGTAATAAAATGATAAGTCAAGTGTCGAACCCATAGAGACTTGTGTAACTATCCACTAGTTTCACCAAGATTATTATTCAATCAAGTATTTCAGAGTTCAAAAGTGTGATTATACTAATCAATAATTCTAACAAGTAACTAAATTATCAAGCAGCAAAATAGTTGTTGTGTATTCAGTAGAGACGAATATTCCAGAGTTATGATCGATTCACCGAATCCTATTGTGTTCTAATTAACTCTCCCTATCATACAATTCACTCATGGTTGCTAATTAATCGAATAATTGATCTCGTAGTATTCTCCCGAATTCCTACTCGCCTATTCAAAATAGATTAACGCCTATATTCCTATGGAATCAATATATTAAGAACGCATTAAGATTACAATGTTTAATTAAGCACGATGACTAGGTATATTCTTATCCCAACCACAAATCCCCCACCCCCACAGAGTTAAGATCACGCTCTCTTCAATTCTTTTCTAATCTAAACGTAGCTTTCCCAAGCATAGCATAGATAGTAAATAGAACCTAACTGTTTGTCAGACAATTAAGCAATTAATCACATAATTGAAGAAACAATAATATATTGGTGAATTATAATCAAGGTTAAGTCAATTTTAAACAACAATATTCATGGCTAAATCACAACCCCAAAACTATGGGTTTTAGCCACTCACAATAATATCAAAACAAATTCATAAGTGTTGAATAATTGGAAATACTAAGAAAAGATGAAGAAAACTGATATATCCTCGCTCCCGGATGTTCCTCGTGTGTATTTTCCCTTCAAAGTAGCGTCTTCTCTCCCAAAATAGGCTTAGTCTTGCTTTTATACGCGTTGGGTAGGGTCTTGGGCCAAAATAACCTTCTCCCGGGCAAAGTAAGAGATGTTTCCCGTCACCAGCACCCAGGGCAGCGTGGGGAGCTAGCCCTGGTTAATTTCATAATCTGCAAAGTTCGCCACAGGTAGTGCCCCACGTTGCCTGTGGCGCTACAAACGGCCCATTTCCCAATTTTTCTCCTTTTTGGCTCTAATATCGCACCTTTCGCCCCATATTGCCTCCGGATGATTCCTACATATAAAAACATAACGAATTAGCATAAATCAATACATTTCACCTCCGAAATCCACAAAACACGAGTAAAATATGAGGCGATATACATATAAATATATATACTTTAAGCCAAATATCAACACCCCACACTTAAACTCTTGCTCGCCCTCGAACAATGTGACTATCAACCACACCCCAACAACGTACACATCTCAACTAGAGAGGAGCACTTCAATTTTTAACCATACACTCTACCCTTGACTATGACTGATACCGGCAATCAAGCATGAACATACAAATTTCACATTCTTCCCGTTTTAAACATGCCCAAGTATGACATTTCAATTCAATCAATTCAAACAACCTATCTGTCACCACCCTACCTCAAGAGCCGACTCGTTACCACTAAGCACCCTCAACTCGCACACTCACCCAACAAAAGAAGTTTATAACATTACCAATCCTTCATGAGACCATGTGCCCTCACCAACAAACAAAAGAGTGAATATAGAATAGTCCACACATTCAAGTAAGCCTTTGAACATAATTTAAGGACATCACACAATTGAACAAAATTCGCGCACTCTCACAAAGAATTTATGTGCATCCCGTGGTCACACCATAAGCTTGCCCGTAGTGTACATCTCTACTAATCTAAGCCATCCAATTCTAGGATCAATTAGGACTTTAAGGTTGTAATGTAGGCTAAGGGACAGGTAGGATATATTTAGGACTAGTAACTAACCCTCCTAAGCACTTTAATACACTACACTCACAAATTGAGCACATATTCTTCTCAACCAATTCACTCGCCACAAACCATATACAACATAACCCTTTTCCAATTAAGCACTTCTATATTCCCACTAGCACGCATTAGTAAGATTAGGAGGTGTGTGTTTCTTTACATTATTTGAACTACTAATTTTTTCCTTTTTGCAATTTTTTTTCTTTTTTTCTTTATTTTTTTTTACACACACTCCATACATTAAGGTTCATCGGCTAGTGACCCTTTTTTCACAACTTTAGTGCATCTTATGGGCCATTCCATAGTTCTACTCGAAAGCTACTCCCCAATCTTTCACCTTACTTCTTTTAGCGACTAAGTGCCTTAAGGGGTAAAGGTTCAACAATCTCAAATTAAGAACAAAGTAGGGGTACGACTTGCAATGTGGGTGCCAAAGAAAAGGTCTATAGGCTCAAAGGGGCTAGCAACGAAAATTTTATTTTTAAGTGACAAGCACATCTATGATCAAGCAAGAAACACCTACGTCATCTCCTAGACTAGCACAACTTAATGATTTCGCTTCGATTAACACACGGGGCAAATTCTAGACTGTTAAATGGATATTGGGCCTAACTCAACCCCAAAAGCTAGCTCAAGAGGTGAGGATTGCCCAAGTACATATAAGGAGACCACCCATCCCCTTCATTGTCGATGTGGGACTCAACACCCCCTCTCACGCCCAGGACTGGACATCTGGAGCGTGGACAATTATAGGGGCCCAACATCGAAAAATTGGGATGGATCCTGCTCTGATACCATGTTAAATGGACATTGGGCCTAACTCAACCTCAAAAGTTAGCTCAAGAGGTGAGGATTACTCAAGTATATATAAGGAGACCACCCATCCCCTTCATTGTCGATGTGGGACTCAACATAGACTACACATGATAGCACAGAAAATCACAAATCCTCACACACACACATTGCACATGACTCAATCGAGACGGTTCTGTTCAACTCTCAAGTCAAGCAAGCACATATAATTGAGAAATTTTAAGCAATATTGCACTATGTGGCATACTAGTCAAACAACTGAGAAGAGGTGTCACAGAGTAGGCTATTTATTTTACTCGGGTATCACAATTCAAGTCAAATGCACGGAAAGACAGAGTGAATGCCATAACCTAATGTGCCAGCACCAAACACGTCAATAGGTACCTCAGAGCAACTCAGTTTCTTCCTAACCTACTTTTAAAAAAAAAAAAAAA